ATATATATATATATATATATATATATATTTATGCAGATATCTTTTTATTGCTATATATATATATATATATATATATATATATATATATATATATATATATATATATATATATATATATATATATATATATATATATATATTATTAGCCCCCTTAATATTATTAATATTATTATTATTATTATTATTATTAATATATATATTAACTAGGGATGTAACGGTATCAGAATTTCACGGTACGGTAATACCTCGGTATGAATGTTACGGTACGGTATTTATTGAATCATTTACAGGAAAAAACAAAACTTATGAAAATACTCCAAAAAAGTGCCAAAAGTGTCAATGACATACAAATTAGTCATCTATCTGTAAGCTTTGAAACAGGAACTTCAATTTTAATAACAAAAAAATATTAAACCATGTAAAAAAATAAAGTTTCAATTCAGTATTGTTGAAACTTCATCACATTCAACATTTAATCACTCACTCACTTAGATAGAGATGGGTTTAAAGGAAAATTATCATATAACTATAATCTGGTAAAAGCTGGTATCTCTGGGTATTTACAATGTCCCCTGCAACAGAAAAAAAACCCTCTCATTTGGGACTGAGGTTTCTGGGACAAGAGAGATATGACTTGGCCCATGTTGACAGCAGTGGGTAACGTTGTGCATTGTCTTTCCCCCACTTGAGAGGACAAACCATGAGTGAGATAGAGATCTCATGTCTGCATCAATCTGAACAGTGTGCTGTGTTTCTGCAGTCCCCATGACTGATTATTAGTCCTATTCCCCAACTTGCAGGCACGTGCACACATAGGGCTCAACCTGTGCAGTGCACATGCCCTTTTTAGTCTTGGATAGAAAGTTCCCTTCCAAAATGATCAAAAGTGCCCCCACGACGCGACACAACCTCCGTCCCCGCTTTACAGTACGCGCGCGACAACACAGCTGATCAGAACGCGCGCGAAAACACAGCTGATAAGAACTCGCGCGACAACACCGCTATTCAGTACGCGCGCGACAACACAGCTGATAAGAAGTCGCGCGGCGACAACACCCGCTTTAGGGTTTTCCAGCTCTTTTTGATGCCCGCTTCTAGCAGCACACTCCATTTCCGCATTACTGGATATGTAGCGACAACAGACCGCAAGGGATTATTGCCAAGCCTGGGCTGATGGCAATTGTAGTTTCCGGTACCTCCCGTTCGCTTCATTTGCCTGAGCAAATTTTCTCAGAAGACCTATAGTTTTACCAAGTCATGTGATAACGGTAATATCGAAAAAAATTAATATTGCGGTATGACGGTATTTACAATACCGTTACATCCCTAATATTAACTGTGTTAATATATATAAACACAGTTGCAGTTTTTTTTTCCTTTTGTGGTCGTGGTGTGTTCAACATGCCGAGAAATATGGATTAGACCAAGGAAGTGCTTTGTTACGGATTTAAATGCGTTTGTGAGCTCGTGTTCCTCTGCCGTTTGTCGTTGCTATGGCCATCGTCAGCTGTTCCTGTACATGTGCAGAGGTCAAGATTCAGATTAGTTAGATTTTGCTGCTGTGTGGATTAATACTGAATGTGTGTCATAGTTAAGAATGGAGCAATATGCTGGTGTTTGACTATACTGCTTTTGGTGGTAAGGTGTCTGATTAACACTGTTGAGTAAGTTTTACTATGAAGTGTGTTTCGGGTGTCCGCTGCGATCGGATCCTATACCAATGTTGGGGGCTTGACAAACCACGCTGGGCATTTGTCTCGTGCTGGGCATTTGCGCTGAATGCTGTCGACCAATCACAGATTAGCTTCGTGCTAAGGAGGGTTTTGGGAACAAATGAATCGCTAAAAGAATCATATGGGAGTCACTGGAATAATTAGGTAAAAATAGATGCATATTATAAGACCATGAAAGGGTTTTTTGACCTTACATGAATATCAGTATGTTGTTGGAGACCTATAAAACCGAAATATGACCCTTTTTAATGTATAATATGGGCTCTTTAAAGTAGAGAAGATTTTTTTTCAACACATTTCTAAACATAATAGTTTTAATAACTGATTTCTTTTATGTACATAATATTTGACTACATATTTTTAAGATACTAGTATTCAGTTTAACCCCTTCAGACCTGAATTATGTTCCAAATTTCAGAAAAATGGCATGTCATTTGATGTCCATTGTAATGGACGCAGGGTCTGAAGGGGTTAAGTGACATTTAAAGACCTAACTAGATTAATTAGGTAAGTTCAGGCAATATGGCAAGCCAATGTATATCAGTGGTTTGTTTTTTTTTAGACAATCCAAAACAATTATTGCTTAAGGGGGCTAATAATATTGACCTTAAAATTGTTTTGTTTTTTTTAAATAAAATTAAAAACAGCTTTTATTCTAGCCGAAATAAAACAAACAAGACTTTCTCCAAAAGAAAAAAAATATTATAGGAAACACTGCAAAAGTCCTTGCTCTGTTAAACTTCATTTGGGAAATATGTCATAGGCATGCATTCAAGTCAAACCCACATCTTCTTGCAAACTGCCCCATTCATCAAACCAGCACACATTTAAAACACAACTGAAAAGACACTTAACTCTAATGAGACATGCAGCTATAATTTCCACCACACCTCCAAATCATGTTATTTTACCCAGCAATTACATCTCATATCTGAAGTACAGCGGAATAACAGAGCTATGATAATGGACCATTAGCAATCCAATAAGCCAGAGTCTTCTTTCCTTCCTCCAGATTTACAACCACCGCATGAGAATAAAAAAGTGAAAGTTCTCACCTTAAGTGAGCGATGAAAAACGGCTAATGGAAGTGGACGTCGTGACAGGAGATTTACGGCATCTGCGAGTCTGGTTCGCCGGGACGGCTGCGATAATCCCGGTGGCATTAACAGTGTCCGGCCTGGCGTTCAGCAGCCGTGAATCACTGCAGGACATCTGGAGCTGTCAGAGTCAGATCTGTGGTGCTTTGTCAGCGTGTGACCTTCAACACTGTGAGGAAAAACACTGGTTTTAGTGGAGATCAGACGCACAGAGGTCAAACAGGCAGGCCAGACCCATGGCACAGTTATTCACAAACCACCGGCGATTGAGTTGATGAATGCAGTCTCCAGTGGGTATGTTAATGTCAAAACGACGCCAAATTAACATCAAGCATGATGTTAAAACACTAATAATTTATGTCAATTTGACATCTACACATCGATGTCCTTTTGACCAACAAAATAACAAAATAAAAAGTATTGATAAACATATCAATTATATAGGCCAGTGGTTCTCAAACTGTGGTACGCGGACTTCCTTCTAGTGGTACACGGAGGAATGAAATATGTCATGTATAGCTACATATATTTCAAAACGTATCAAAAATTATGTATATAATATGCCATATATGACATACAGCCTATATTTCTGAGGTGATCTGCCTCGTTTTTTTAACTGTGCAGAGTTGTAGCTGCTGTACTAGGCCTACTACGCTACTATATTTCAATACTGCTCATTATGGTGGTACTTGGAGAGACTATTTTTTTCTGAGGTGGTACTTGATGAAAAAATGTTTGAGAACCGCTGATATAAGCTATAAATTACATGTAAATATATCCCCTTTGTGTATTTTTGTATTTTATGTATATACAGTGCTCAGCATATAAAAGCACACCCCTCACAAATTAGGGATGTGCGATACCACTGGTTTCAGAGTATCGGGGATACCAATCCGATACCGATACTTTGCTCAAAAATTACTATTTGGGAAATTAAAGTAACGAGTAGTGTACTAAAAAATGCAATTTTATACTGAATATGAGACATATTACAGGTTATTCTTGTTAATTGATTAATAATTATCATACAAAAAAAAGAGCCAACTTACATATTACATATTTATTGACAGCATCTGAGCATGTATATCTTAAAACGTCTGCCTGTACATCTTAACATAAAACAATAAACATTCTCACCTTTTTGTTTAGTGATATGTTAATCCAGTCCCCTTTTTAACCTTTTTCTTTTGTTTTATCATTGTCACAATAAACCCAAGCCCCCAAAATACAGCCAAACTTTCTCACTCTGTACCTGCATGGTGCCTGCCTGCTCCACCTAAGGACTCTGCAAGCGATGTGTCTCGCCCCAGCAGCACCTGTGCCTCTCTTTTCTTTTTATTATTATTTTTTTAATTAAAATTTTTTTTAATGTTTTTTTTTATTTGCAAAAAAACTGTTGACAAGTTTGTAGCAATATTTGTTTGCAATACAGAATATGAATTACATTGTCAATGAAAAAGAGATACGAGAGAGAAAGACAGAAGAAAAAAAAGAATAAAGAATATGATATAAACTTGAGGGTAAGACATTTAAGAGTCAAGAACAGTACATAATATAAAGTCATTACAAAATGAAATAGTTCTGTTTGCTTTCTTATTTTTAGATAATGAAATTAATTGTATATAATGACTAAATTCTTGCACAAAAACAGGAAAATATGGTTTAGTATTAGTAAGTTTGTATTTGTGGATATGGAATTTACAGAGAAAATGAATTAAAATGATAACAAAACAAGCATTTCTCTTAGTAGGGGCAGATTCATAATAACCAAAAATAATTTCTTTAAAAGTAACAGAAACATCTTGTTGTATATTATCATTAATAAATAATCCAATATGTTTCCAACATTGTACAACATAATAACACTCCCAAAATAAATGAAAAACAGTTTCAGTATGAAATTGACAAATTGAACATTTTACATCAATATTAGAATTAAACTTTTTCAAAAATTGTTTTATAGGATAAAATTTGTTGATCAATTTAAAAGACACTTCTTTGACCTTAAATATTTCTTGACCTAGAAAATATTTTTGATGCAAAGACCATATTTTTTCCCATATCAAATCTCTATAGATATTATTCCAATAATATCATGACTATGTATGAACACCAGACGCCACTGTAGTTCGCCTGCAACTCCCTGCGAACTACAGTGGCAAAAAAACTACATATCCACACATTCCTTCGTGCATACACCTGTCAAAAACACTGATTGCAATCACAGCTGTCTCTGTTTCCCAGTTGATTACCTGGACTATATATTCAGTCATTCATCGTCTGTTTGTTAGTTCGTTTTTGTGGCATGTTATTCCTGACTAGTTTCCTGTCAGAGTTGTTGAGTCCTAGTTCTAGTTTAATCTGTTGGAGTTCCTTGTTTGTTTGTTTACTTTGTTACTTTGATTTTTGGTCTTTTTCACTGCTCTAATACATTATTAAATCTGCACTTGGATTCTACTCCCGTTTTGTTCCTGTTTCTATCCTGAAACGTGACAAATAAGAGATTACAGGGGACCTGTGCCTCTCCTTTCCTCCTCTTCTGTCCGCCTAGTCATGACGTAGTCATATTCTGTCTTGTGATTTATATGTAGGTGTTTGATTAGGTTTGTGGTTTTATCACACTGTTTCATTACACGTGTCACAAACAGCATGGTCTGAGTTTATGGAAGTGAAGTAAACCCACATAAAACTTCGCTTGCGGTCAACAGCGTCACTGAACAACATGTGCCAGCGGACTGACTGAGTGGCTAGCTAGCGAGCTCTGCAGTTGTACATTGCCATATTACGCACGTGACTTGGCAGGCGGAAGAACAAGTAGTTCCGACTAAATTAGCATTATTCAGATAAACTAGGGTAATTGTGCTTACTTTCCACTGTATTTCTATTTCCAATAAACTACATATTTGCTCCAAATTACTGAAACAGTTACTTTGATAAGATAATCGATTCTAGACACAAAGCTAGTATCGGATATATCAATATTTTAGTATCGATCCGCACATCATTATCACAAATCTATATTTTAAATTAATATTTTTAATAGGAAGCCATACAGCATTATATTTTTGCATATACACAGTGGTGTAAAGTAACAAATAACAAATACTCAAATTACTGTAATGACTAGTTTTTCTCAGATATTTTACTTTACTAAGTAGTTTTAAAAATGTGTACTTTTACTTTGCCTTGAGTACATTTTTAGTGTAGTAACAGTACCTACTTTCCTTCAAAGTATCAAAGTATAAAATAAAATTTTTAAAAAAGAGGAAAAATTAAGAGAACCAAAAAAAATTGAAAAACTTTGTGGAAATTTTGCTGAAAATTGCAATAATTTGCTTAAATTTACTTGTATTTTCTTTCAATTTCTATATATGTTTGTTGACTAAAATAATAGTTTCATTAATATATCTGTTTAATAAATCTGTTTTGCTTAAATGCACCAAAATACATTGCCAATATTCACTGAGAAATGGAGAAAAATATTCATTTTCAAAATGGGCTGTACTCAATTATGCTGAGCACTGTTCATAAATATACACAACACACATGTACAATATGTGTTATGTATGGGATTAATTGTTTGACATCCCTAATTATAATATAATACAATTTGTATTAATCTGAAATCTTTGATTGTGAATTTACACAAATGTACATGTTGTATTATGTCTAAATGTTCCGACAACATCAAATTAACATCTAATATTGGCATTAAAAAAACTTCAAAAATCAACTACAGGAGCTTTAATCAAGTTTTGACATGTTTTTTTGACGTCAATGTTAGATTTGATGTCATTTTGAAATCAAGGCAGCCAATTGAGATTCCCTTTTTTGACATGTGTTTGATGTTGTTTAGACATTTAGGTGCCAGACTGGTAAAAACACATCAGAAATGCAAATCAATTTGATTTAAAAACCCAGACGTCTATTTGACATCCACACATTGATGTTATTTTGACCACCAAAATAACAACACAAAATGTATTAAAACATAAGAAAAGTTTATTAAACTGAAAGCTTCAATCCAATATTTATTACATGTTGTTTTTTTTAATTTTTTTTAACAACAAGTTTTATTTTAAACATTGTTATACAAATTGACAAAGGTTTAATTCTTCAGTTTAGCAAAAAATAAAAATAATAAATTAATTAAATTAAAATATACAATACAAAAAATATATATAAAATACAGCAAAAATAATATAGATTCAAAAAAACTTAACACACTTTGAAAGAAAACAAAATAACAATATTAATGTTAAACAATACAGTAATAACATTTCTGTCTAATCTATACTTTCAATGTCTGTCAGTTCAAGAAATACGGCGCGGTGTGAAGCCATTCCTTTTGCTTACCTCCGTATGGATGGCTTTTTCCGCTGTAACCAGCTCTTACCTACTTTCTGGAACTGTTCTTCACCAAATTTGAACCCCGTCGTCATGGTCAACTCCCCTCTGCCTCTGAAGTCTGCCACTGTACAATTGAAGTCAGAATTATTAGCCCCCCTTTGAATTTTTTAATTTTTTTTAAATATTTCCTAAACGATGTTTAACAGAGCAAGCAAATGTTCACAGTATGTCTGATAATATTTTTTCTTCTGGAGAAAGTCTTATTCGTTTTATTTCGGCTAGAATAAAAGCAGTTTTTAATTTTTTTTAAACACCATTTTAAGGACAACATTATTAGCCCCTTTAAGCTAATTTTTTTTTCGATAGTCAACAGAACAAACTATCATTTTACAGTAACTTGCCTAATTACCCTAACCTGCCTAGTTACCCTAATTAACCTAGTTAAGCCTTTAAATGTCACTTTAAGCTGTATAGAAGTGTCTTGAAGAATATCTAGTCTAACTTTATTTACTGTCATCATGGCAAAGATAAAATAAATCTGTAATCAGAGACGAGTTATTAAAACTATTATGTTTAGAAAGGAGTTGAAGAAAATCTTCTCTCCATTAAACAGAAATTAGGGAAAAAATTAAACAGGGGGCTAATAATTCTGACTTCGGGTGCTTTCACACTAGCTCTTTTGGTCTGCACCCGAGTTCGTTTGACGTCATAGTACGGTGCGTTTAGCTAGTGTGAATGCGTCTTCTGAACTCGGGTGCGGACCCGTGAACCGTACCCGAGTCCGCCTGAAAGAGGTGGTCTAGGGTACGGTTCATGCG